CCCCAAAACCCCAAAACCCCAAAACCCCAAAACCCCAAAACCCCAAAACCCCAAAACCCCGATTTATTACAAATTTTTGTTATATAAATTAACTATTTGACAATGTCATTGATGACATACTCAACTTCAATCTTAGAGAACCCTGAAGTCTATATAGAGTTAGTGAGAACAAATACCTTAGAATCCCTTGATTGGAATTTCCTGTTCTTGCTCATTCTTTTGTAATTCCTCTTCTTTTTCTCTATACAAGAGTGTAAGAGGAGAAGAAGTTAGGGATTAGAGATTATAGGTTGGGCACAGAAAAGTTTGATTAAAAGTCTTGCTTAAGCTCAAAGATTGCATCTTCTTAACCAAGAATGATGGAAGCAAATCATCTTTACTACGCATCTAGCTATTTCTAATGAATGTATACCTTGATTCTTGCTCTTAGTTTGGATTTGAGAATGAAATTTGGATAATCTTCCTTCAACAGGCCTTTCTTCTTTAAGCTCCTCAATTTCGCTACTAAGTCTATGGGTTATTCAAAGAGCCTACTCATCTTCAATAGATCCTTCTGAGATACTTCCTTCATCATTATTCAAAGTGATGGTAAAGTTAGTATTTGTTGGATAATTTGAAATAAACCGGGGTTGGGGAACTGCAGAGGAAGCATATATTCCTGACCCATCTACATCTATCTGTCCATTAATATTCGGAGAAATATTTCCTTCCATAGGCTGTCCTTTGTGGGAGACATTCATTGACTGGTGAGAATTCTTGTTCTTAACATTTTTCTTACTCTGTTCCTTTTTAGATTGCTTCACTTTACTTTTAGAATTCATTGGCTTGTCAATATGTAATTTCTGCTTTTTTATTGGAATTTCATAGCCATGATTCGAAGATTTTGACTGCCTTAGATTTTTAACAGTTGATCCTCTTTTTGAAGATACTTTTGAATGCTTCTTCAGTTTATCTCCTTTAGAAGGTATTCCTAAAATATTTAGTAATTAGCAAGTTTTGGGATAAACTAGGTTTAGTAGTTATTAATCTCCAATGATTCCTTACTCAGTTCTTCGGGAGAGAGCTTCTTCTTGCTACTTCCGAATATAATAGACCCTCTTTTGAGTTGCTTCACTTTAGTAATTTGCCTACTGGTATCTTGATTTAATATCGAACTTCTGGATTTTCTGTGAACGAAGAAATCAGTGACTACTTTTCTTGTCCTAGAGGGAATTTGAGAAAATTCTAAAGACAGATCCTTACTTTTTCATCTTGATTTCATTCTCTTTATTTTTCTGTTGCTCTTTGGCATCTATTGACTTCATTAACCATCAAATTAGGAGATAAAACCTTGCCTAAAGCGAACTTACCTTCAGAACATGTATCAGAGGATGAATTATAAAGCCTCTTAGTAGTAAGCTTTTTGAGTTTACTATCTTTTCTCTTGTTCATGTTTTGGGTATTCTCTACTAATTCTGAAAGCTTCTTGACTTTGTAGACCTTCTTTGCATTAGATTGGCCTAACTTGCTCTTAAGTTTATTAAGATATGCTTCTTTGTTCTTTGTCTCTACTATAAGATGAGAACTCAGGAGCCCATACATGTCATCTTCTTCAACTCTTCCTTAGCTTTCTCGAGCTTTTGGATCGCTGGGCTCTTAGGCTCGTTAAATTGATGGGGACTTCTCTGAGCAGTATATTTCTTCAGCATTTTTAAGAACTTAGATTTCCTCCTGGGGAACTGAGAAGGGTCAAGCATTGGAGGCTGAAGGTCGTTTAGAGATTTATCGTAGGTTTCTAGAGGGGTAAAATGATCTTTTACCAATGCTTCTGTCTTTACTCGTGTTTATTGTTTGGTCTTTGCTCAATTGTTTGGTGGGAGAATTGAAATCTCTGTTACTATATATCCATATTAGCATGAAGAGAGTCTTAGTAAAATATTTGGGAATGGGTTTAAAAGTATGATAATTTAGTAAAAAGAAGTTCTTACGTCATAATTGTTCTGTTCATTCCGGTTTGCTCTTCAGGAACTTTCATGAGAGGGGAGCTTAAATTAAAAAATTTTGAATTACTTCAAGTTTATTTTGGGATTAAGATTTTTGGATATGGTGCGGTTGATATCTGCCCTTTGACTTGCACGAGGATTTCTGCCCCTATTCCTTCTAATAACATAGTCAGAAATGATTCAGAGTTCTCTGAAAAATATTTACTTACTTTTGTTTCATATTGGCTATAAGAGAAATTAGATATTTAGTAATTTGATATCAGTAATTTTGAAGAGTTGGGAAATATTAAAATATTTCAAATTTTTATCAAAATGAAATCCTGGGAACACCAGCAAAAAATCGAGCTGTAGTTTAACCTTCAATGTTATTGCTATATAAAATGACTTTCTCTCACTTAAAATAAAATTATTGACCAACAGTACTATTCCTAAATTTGGATCACTAAAGTAACCCAAAACGGCTCACTAAAACTTGTGAAATATAACTATATCCAATATTTCAATGAAATTCTGGCATATAAATCATGATCTTAGCAGGAACCATCAATAAGCCTTCCTTAAACTATATAGTCCCATAACACAGACCCCCAATCACTACAAAATGCTGCTAATAATTAGGCCTTACTATACCCATTAGTTATCAATGGTTAGGTTACCCAGGTCTGGCCTTACTAAACTATATCTCTCCAAATTTCAGAACTGGCTAAAGTACTGGCTAGCAATCCAAATAGAGCTCTAATATCAGCCAGAGTCTGACAGAATCCGTTCATAAATTCCTTATACCAAGATATAATCCCTTAAATTACTCTCCTAAATATCTCTAAAAGTACTAAGAATCTGTCCAAAGTAAGGCTACTTTAGTTATAATATTTCGTAGCTTAGAACAAACTAGTAGCGTTTATGCCATAAATTAATCCCAGATTTTGAGAAATATTCTTGATCAGATAGGCTGATTAAAACATGCCAATTGACCTCCCTTGCCTATTTTGGGATTTGATAGAAAATAAGGTCTTAATGATCCTTTGATAATTAAAGTTGATAATAAAGGAATGAAATTAGTAATAAACCAGACTTAGTTCAGAATCATTCCTTATTTTTGACAAAATGGAAAACAAATTTAGGTAAATTATCCTGAGATATGCACTAATATTCAGCAAAAATTGGCAGAGTGGACTGAAGGAAATGCTACGAGCATCAGCTTGTAGATCTGAATCTAAACCTTGACTTTTGAAGGATCTATTACTTGATAAGGTAAAGAAATATGGCCATATTAGAATATCTTGAGATCAAGTTTGTTGACGGTACATATTCCACAGATAACATATCTTCAATGTCTGATGTCTCTGATATACTTGATAAGGAAGGCTTTATGTTAAAGATTGATTTTATCGCTGATAAATGGCTACACCATTTTATGCTAATTTTTCATAATTAATTATTAACTTATTAATACGATATTTTTGAGTTTCAGGACTATTCAGAACACAAGAGAAAGATGCAAAAAGAGTCTTTATATCATACAATTTCAGAATTATCTTCAAAATAAATGTAAAGAAGACATTGAGTTAAAATGATCAAAACGTTAGATGATTTTTCATAGGAAATATAGAGCCTACTGTACAGTCAAGATAGGTTATGCCAGGTGTAGTAGGTGGAATGGGAAAGGCAGGTTATGGGGATGGGGGAAGGAATAGGGGGTTGTGAAGGGGGTTGTGAGGGGGGTTGTGAAGGGGGTTGGAGGGTAGGGGGTGGGAGGGAGATTAGTTTGTGCTGGAGAGGGGGGTTTTGGGGTTTTGGGGGAATGTTTGTTTGGAGAAGGAGCTTACCTATTGGGTCTTGGAGAGTAGAGTTTACTTGAGGGTCAGGAGAAATAAATCTTGGGTTAAGCCTACCTCCTCGACTATTATTTTCACTTAAGGGGCTTCTTGTTGGAGAAAATTGAGGGCTGAAAGTTCCACCGTAAAGTGTGAGTAAACTATCAACCTCTTGTTTTAGTTGAAGAGCACCAATTTTCAATTGCTCCTGCACATTTATTGGTTCTTTATTTAGGTACTGGAACGTATGGTTTTGGTTGAACGGGAGATTGACAGAGAGGTGCTACCATTCTTGTGTTTCTCCTTTTCAGCTCATTTTTCAAAGCCTGATGTTTGAACTTTGTCTTAATAATATCTTCATTAATTGAGATCCTTCTTTTATACGTTTTATTGACGCTTATTGCTTTTCTTCCTGCTCTCACTACTTCAGAAGGAGACCATGGCCTGTTTGTCTTCATTTAGTATTGTTATCTTTAATTTAATTTTTCGTAATTGGGGTTTTGGGGTTTTGGGGTTTTGGGGTTTTGGGGTTTTGGGG